TATATATATATGTCTATTAAACGGTACAACGATGTTATGGGAGACAGAGATATGGGCACATGCAAATGTGATCGTATCAATCGTAACTTAGAAGCTGAAGTTTTCGATAATTACTAAGCGATTCAATAATTTTTATAATATCTGTTTCTAATTTAGCTAATGTAGACTCTAGTTTGCATATTTTTTTTATTCTTTTACTTTCTAATGATGAACCAAATACATCCATTACTGTTAACGTTTACGAATGAACTAAGAATATTTTATTAGTTTTTGTAGATTTTATTTTGCTCGGATGACTTTTTATATTTTAAAAAGTAATAACACAAAGTTTAATTAAAGATAGGTAGAGGGGATATGTCACCTTAAGGTTAAATAAATATACATATTTAAATATATATTGATACTTGATTATATGGAATAAAAAATACAATTAGTAGTGCATATTATAAATTTGTACATTAATATCTTACAATAATATTAAAATTATTTATTTTTCAAGCTTATTTTTATTCATCCATGAATCATGTTTTGAAGGAAAACCCATCCAACGAACCAATACTTTATCTCCTTTACGTCGTACAACTTTTTCAATCAGATAATTATGCGGATACTTGGTTTTTTGTAATTCTTGTTCATAAAAACACCCTCTAATCGGATTTTTTTCAAAGTCTTTGAGAAAATAGGTTACTGGTATAGTGTTGCATACCTTTGCTATTGTAAATATTTCATAAGACCAATTACTCAAATAGCCTTTTTCAAATACGGCCTTGTTCGAACTAACCCTTACATTATCACCTCTATGAAATTTATTTTTTTGTTTCGTTTTATGTACAGTACTGTGTATAACCACTGCCGAATGATTGTTATCGGCATACGTAAGAGTCATCTTTATTGTTCTATGCACGCTGTTGTTGTACTCGTGCATAACTTTGTTTAATATAGATAGCCAATTGTGGGTTCCTTGAGCGGTAAACTCTCCATATAATTTGGTCTTGATGGTTCGAATTAATCGTTCACAAATTGACGATTTTAATGTGCTATACGTTGAGTAATGTTTTATGTTATATTTTTTCATAAGAGTTGAAAATTTTGAGTTATAGAATTCTTTACCCAAATCGCTCTGTACGTGAACGATATTACGTTTTGCAAGTATTGGTTCTATTGCTTTCACTATATCAGCTCCTCTTTTTGATTTTAGGGGTACTGCCCATGAATATTTTGTAAAACAATCAATTACAAACAAAATATATTTATAGCCTTTATTCTGTCTATGATATGGTATAAATTCAGCTAAATCGATCTGAAATAAATCGTCACGGCTTTTAAGTACAACACTACGTCTATCGTAATGTATGCGTCTAGGTCTATGCAGTTTTTCCGTAATTTGTCTTTTAAACATTTGGTATTTTTTTAATTATGCCTGCCTCGTATAATTCTTCATAAATTGATATAATTTCATTACCATGTGCATTATTGCTTGCTGTCTGCGAAGCCAATAGTAATCTAAGACGGTCGCAGAGCTCGTCTGCGTTATTCCAATATTTATAGTTATTCGATGTATTCAATGACAACTCAAGACCTCTGCCCTCGACAAACAATTTACTTATAACTTCTTTATACTTGTAGCCATTTGTTTTCTTAATTTTTAATTTATTCGTTGTTAAGTGCGCAGAAGTATGAACTAGAATGTCTCTATAGACATCCAAGTCATTTTTTTCGTATACGTTAGGCCGTTTTGAAAATATTAACTGTATTAGACCGGGGGTTAATTGATATTTATTATTTTCTATGATCAGCTGAGCTGTTTTATAATTAAACTGAACAATTTTATCACCGAATTTTATTGAATCCCCGTGTTTTTTATGTGCATACGCTTTGTCCCCATCATGATAAGCTAGCCAAGCCTCAACAGAGTCCATCATAGAAAATATTTGGTTTTCAGAATATCCACTAGAATTAGTGTCTTCAACATTATAACTTAGATTATGCAACTCAGTTACTACAGAATTATTTTTATCGATTTTATAGTTGTTAATATTATGGTTTTGTTCATATTTTAAATACTCGTTATTATTATCAAATTTATTAGTAAAATTTGAAATATGCAATGTTTTCTCTTTTTGAAGTGTTGTTAACTCAATTAAAGGTTCAATAATGGGTTTTAATGTACGTTTCATGTAAACCTCATTAGCAACATCATCATTTAGCAATGATTGGAATTATTATATTTATTATTTAGTAATTTATAAAACCAATAAAGAAATTCTAAACAACATAACTGTCCTGTGCAACAAACTATTTCCAAGTGGCCTACGTATTTTCAGTCATCCAAAGAGTGATCTAGGGTAGATGCGAGCTCAATTTCGGTTCTTTGCACAATAGATTATACCACTCCGATTGCCCGCACTGTGGCAGGGAACAGATAGGCTAGTCGATTAGTGGAGAGACACTTTTTAGTTGTTTAGGTGATTAGTATAATATTTCGACTCTGATTTATTTGTATTTTGTAGCTGGTTATACCAACGTGAGATCTCAAATAATATCTTTATCTTTATGCAAAGACCCTTATCATATGTGGCCTATTTCTTATCAATCACCTGTAGGACGATCTAGGTTAGATGCGACTGTACTATAGATTTATGCACAATAAGTTATGTTAGTGTCCTACACTCCGATGGCTCGCACTGTGGCAGAGATCAGACTAGCTAGTCGATAAGTGGGGAGACACTTTTTAGAAATCTTGTGATTAACTAAAATTTTAATTATGATATTATTGTACTAGTACCCTGTCCAGTCAGGTTATGGTCCTTCAATAAGTAATAGATACAATTCAATCTAATCAAATACCTAAGAATGTGTAATGTACATAATAAAAAAGATATTAATAAGTAATGCGTTATAAATTATTTAAGTGTCCTACACTCCGATGGCCTTTTTATAGCCCGCAAAACTGGTTTAGCGATCTCTGGTGAGATTTTTGAAATATTTTTTGCTGTGTTTCATTGGTCAATGTGATAGAATCTTTTACGTGGGCGTTTTATGGAATGCGTAAGAGGGTGATTAAATCTTGTGTAAGGGTATTATTTTATTATCCATCTGATCCAAGGGGGAACACTGATTTGGTAATATATATTATTAAATATAAGTATTAATTATTATTACATGTATTAAAATGTGATACTATAATACATACACTAGTCATGACACGGCCCGCGTCGCTTCGTTATACACGATGCCCCGCGACTCGTGCCACCTTTATCAGTCGTTACGGTGCAAAGTCCAGCAAGTGACACACGGCCGACGACGACCCGCCACAAATGGTGCGAGAGTCTTCCTCCCGTTTTGAAAGCGACAACGTCAACCAACCGATCCGCACCCGCTTACCGTCGCCATCAACGCTGCTAACCTTTTGTCGCCCAAAGATCAGGCCGGACATCGCGTCGTCGACGCCAGCGAAAGTGGCGCGATATTATGCGAAGATTCTTATTATTATGTTTATCTTTCCGGTTTGTATATTATTTTGTTAAAATAACCTGTTGTCGCTCATTTCATAAACGGCCCACGGGTCTCTACCCTCATAACCAGTGTCGACCACATTTTTGAGACGTAAGTCGTGTCACTCATTATCAGTAGTCTATAAATCATTATCTATTTGTCTATTAGTTTTATTATTATTATCTCCAAACAAGCAAAAAATAACAAAAATCGATTTTTTTTTAAATTCTAAAATTTTTTACTTTTATGCGAAACTGAAAAGTTTTATAATGTAGTATGTTTATATGTCTGTCTATGTAAATTCTCTATTTTTATTGGACCGATCTTATTGGTCTATACGTTAAAAAAACTCTATTTTAATACCAACGACCAGAGTTATTACGTTATGAACATACAGTATTTAAAACAACAATTTTAAAATTTACATTGGTCTTATGCGATATTTTACACTTTTTAGCTTCGATGCAAAGCTGAGAAGGTATTAATTTTACTATGTTTTTTTTTTTGTGTCTGTTACCACATTTTCTCAGCTCTCACCGAACGGGTTTCTTTCAACGATACGTCAAAAGATCACAAATCGTATCTAGTCGAAGACATTACCCTTAAAAATTGAAAAAAATTCCCTCGGTCCCTGTAAATGGCGGAAACCTCCAAAAAAATTACAAATTTAAAAATCGCTAATTTTCGAAATTTTTTCAATTTTTTTTACTAAAAACTACCGTAACTTTTTTAAAAATGAACATATCAATATAATTTTTTTTTANACTTTTTCAAAAATGAACATACCAATATAATTTTTTTTTATAGATGCTTGATGTCTTTACCTAAATCGAGAATAAAATCGACTTAACTTTTGAAAGTGTTCCGGAAGGTCTGACACTTTTATATATATCTTAAATTAAAGCTAATGTAATGTACTTTAATTTGAAAAAAAAAAATTTGACCTCTGGACTTGTCTTCATGGTGAAAGTTGACATCAAAGTTAATAAAAAATTACGATTTTTGTAAAATAATTTTTTTTTATATTTTTAACTTAATAATGCTCTAACTTTTTCAAAAATGAACATATCAATATAATTTTTTTTTATATAGATGCTTGATGTCTTTACTTATCATTTGGTATATTTTTTTTGTAAATCTGACACTTAACCTGCCCACAGGGGGGGATTTAAAATGACAACTTTTTCACAAAAAATTTACTTTTTCAACTTAACTTTTGAAAATGTTCCGGAAGGTCTGACACTTTTATATATATCTTAAATTAAAGCTAATGTAATATACTTTAATTTGAAAAAAAAAAATTTGACCTCTGAACTTGTCTTCACGGCGAAAATGGCTATCAAATGCTATTTTCGTGTGAAAATTCTCGATTTTATTTTTTATATTATATTTAATTTTATAATGCTATAACTTATTGAAAAGTGTATGGATCGACACAATTTTTTTATGAGAGATAATATTTTTTAATAATCCTATTTCATTCGACATACTTTATCTTAATTAAGATATTAATAAGGAACTGGCAGATCATGTAGCTTTTGGAATAATACACCAATTTTTTAAAATTAAACACTATCTAAAGATTAGCATCGAAGCGTTTTATTTTGATAGTGATTTTAATCACTGTCAGATATCATTATACTTGATCCAACTATGCCACGTCACCACTGTGCCGCGACNCTTGATCCAACTATGCCACGTCGCCACTGTGCCGCGACGCCACTGTGCTGGGTTTTTTGAAAATATTTTGAAAAACCTAAGTACAAGAAATTAAAAAACAAATAAAATATATCCAATATTACTTTTGTTTTAAGTAATTCAGTAGATTGGGATAGACTAATTACCTGTAANTTAGATTGGGATAGACAATTACCTGTAATTTAAAAACTACATTATGTTATAATACATACAGAACTCGTTATTCAGTAATCTATAAATCATTGTTTATTAGTCATCAAATTAAATATATTATTTATGTCAACTTCTTAAACTATTATGAGAAAAATGTTTTAAAAATGCATTTATAAACTTAAAGTAATTACTTTAAGGAATTATTTAGTTGTCATAAAACAGAGATTTTAAATAAAATAATCTATAATAACTAATCAATCACACTTCTTGCACATAAATGGATTAAATTGAATATAAAAAGACACATAACTATTACTTCTGTTCAATCATATTTTACTTTATGTTCTTTCAACTAGTGAAATAAGTGGCTTGACAAATGCTATAAATCACAAATAAAAACATCCATTTATTTCAACCTATTTTTATACATATTTAGTTTATGGTAAAATAATTTTTTATATCACTATAATCGTCTTGACGATTTAACGAAAAAATCATTTATTTGTAATATTACTAGTTAGGACTGCATAACATAACATT